ACTATATTCTGTACAGGTTTGAAAATCCAACATATGTCACTGTAGAAGGCATTCTCTACTACTTCATTTTCATAATACCAATTAAGTTTATCGAGTGGGTCCAGTGAGCAATTCCAGTCCGTACACAAGCCAAGCTAGCTGTCCAAGTGGGGGGTACAATTCCGGGGGGTACAATTCCACCCCGTACACATTTGGCTTTGTGATGGGGGGTACAATTCCACCCCGTACACATTTGGCTTTGTGATGGGGGGTACAATTCCACCCCGTACGTAAATATTTTGATGTTGGCAGGGGGTACAATTCCAGGGGGGTACAATTCCGGGCCGTACATCTCCTGCTCTTTTTAATATCTAATATAATTATCCGGTTCACTGATCACTTGCCCACATTAAATAGATTGGATTTCGTTCAAATCAAAGTGTACGGGGTGGAATTGTACCCCCCCTAGGCGTGATGTCAAAATGACTTCAACGATCACCGGGGGGTACAATTCCAGGGGGGTACAATTCCGGCGACCCAAGTGTAGAAGGGCACGTTTCCCATATGAGCTGTGTCCATATTTTGTTAAATTAATAGTGGTTTACAGCAACTGGATTAATTTTTTAATAATTTTTATGAAGAAATATGTGCATGATTTAGAAAGTCATTAATCTGCAAAATTGCTATTTATTGCAGACTTTTTAGAGATGTTACTTCGATGTATTCATTCAGCTTAGTGAAAACACAATAGAGCCTTTGAATGTTATTAAAATAACAAAAAGGATTGTACATGTTAACTCGCGCTACTCAGCAACAAAAACCATTTAATTTAACTCTAAAAGAAATTTCTCAAAGTGAAATTTGTGCCCGCCGACTGCGCGACAAAACATGTGCCCGAATCGCGGGCACATGTGCCTGCAACTTGCGCATGCGCAAGTCCTCCGAACCATAGATGACATGCCCATTGTGATGCTCATAGCATGTTGTTTCGAATGCTCATAGATAACAGTAATCATAACCTCAAAATTTCATAGATTTCGTTGGAAGAAATTTTCGAAGCCGCTTTGTACGCGCAAATCTCTCATCAATGAAATGCGTCTTCCAATGGTCTTTTAGCCAACAAATCTCTTATCTACCATCTAGGTCGTTTTCGTAGTTTTCTTCTAAATTCATTGTATGCACCAGGCATAAGTAAAAAAGCAAAGGCTGTTATGTCATCTATGGATGATTTGTAGAACACAATATAATCAAAATCAGCCAACGAACCTCACCACATCACAATAAGAGAGCAACTACCTTGTATGCCAGTTGTAGTCGTGGGACTTGTGCCTGGAATGGAAACGGCATGACAAACTACGTGCCGCATGTGCCGCAACATGGTCTCGACATGTGCCGCGACTTGTGCCAGCGACTTGTAGGAATGGAAACGTACTTAAGTGGCACGGTAAGACCTGGAGCCGGGGCCGATATACCTTTTCATTTTGATGTCCCTAGGGCCAAAAACACTAATCGTTCAAATTTTAGCGAATTTCCCTATAGGGAAGTAGCTATTACCGTAGGTCTCATGTTAAGACCTAGGCCCGGGACCGATTTACTTTTTCATTTTGATGTCCCCAGAGGCCAAAAACACCATTCGTTCAAATTTTTATATATGTATATATATCTATCCTGATATAGATATATATATATACTAGCTGTACCCGCGGGCTTTGCCCCGTTTAACTTCATAAGTATTCGCATGGCTTATTCACTTCCTGGTTGAAGTTCGTTCGCTACGCTCACTCACCTTTGGGTTGGAGCTCGTTCGCTGCGCTCACTTGCCTTCAGGTTAGCTCGTTCGCTACGCTAACTCGCCTCCAGGTTGAAGTTCGTTCGCTACACTCACTCACCTTTTGGTTGGAAATTTGCTTTTGTCATAAATTAAAAAGAAAATAATAGTGCTGCACCCTGTTGGTAATCCTTGTAACTTTTATGCTATTGAACATCATAGAACAGAACCAACTTGTTTAATTGAAACAGCTGTTAAGATTCATTAATTCCTTCTAAATATGAAAAATCATAAGGTTAACATGGGGAGATCAAGAATCATTTTTGAGATAAGAATATGCTTTAATGTTAATCGGGAATGTGAGCTATCATCATGCCAAATTTCAGCCCAATCCGTCCAGTAGTTCATGCGTGATTGAGCAACAAACACACACACAAACTCACAAACTTTCAGATTTATAATATTAGTAAGATATGTGTGTGTGTCCATCCGCACGATAACTTGAGTAATTTTTATCCGATTTTGTTAAAATTTGTTATGAAGGTGTAAGGCGGGATAAACTTGAATGAGTTCGCGAACCAGCATGATCGGACAATGGGAACGGGGTTTAACGGGGGGGTGTTGGGGGAGTGTTTTATGGGGTAAAAATGGGTTTTCTAATTTTTTACCCTTAAAACACAAAATTTATTAATTTTTCTCCAGACCTTTTTAAAGAGCTTAAAAAAACAAATAATTTAGTATATGAAAGTGTTTTTGTACTGTGATTGCTTACGAAGAAAATTCAAAAAATTGTTAATTTAAAATTCCCATGTTATTCTTATGGAAAATATTATAATATGTTGTAGTTGGCTTGTTTATGGATATATTTTGATCAAACTTGGCGGATTTATTTATTTCATACTAAGCTATTAATATTTTAATAAAAAACACACTTTATTAGTTTCCCTGTAGTAGCTAACCTAGGTACATAAACCTAGGTACCTTTACATAAATGTTAATTTAATAGATTAATTGAAAATCAATCCAGGCAAATGGAAATTCGCTTAGTCGGCAGGTTTGCTGCAGCGGGGGTACTTATATATTGATATGTACGTTGGTCAACACAATAACTTGAATAATTTTTGTCAGATTTTGTTGAAATTTGGCTTTAAGGTGTAGGGCGGGATAAAATTGGATGAGTTCGCGAACCAGCATGATCGGACCATGGGAACAGGGTTTTGTGGGGGGTTTTATAGGGTAAAAATTGTTTTTTTCTTATTTTTGACCCCTAAAACATAAAATGTCCCAATACTACTAGCTTGTAGGGACATAAGTCCCCAAAAACGTAAAGAGCGTTTTAAAGAGCTTAAAAAACAAATAATTTTGTATTTTGAAGTGATTTTGTACGGTTATTGGCTATGGAGAAAATTCTAAAAATTGTAAATTTAAAATGCCCATGTTATTTAGTCAAGAATTTAGAATTTAGTCAACTGTTGTAGTTTGCTTGTTTATATCAGACTAACAGGTTGTCTTTTTATTACATGGTGTAAATTAAGTAAGCGTTTCCTTATATTTTACTTTTATATTTTGATCAAAATTGGCAAATTTATTTATTTTATAATAAGCTATTAATATTAAAACACACACACACACACTTCAATGCCCTTCCTTTAGCAGCAAACCTAGGTACTTGTTAAGCCTAATGTTATTTAAATAGATTTCATTGAAAATCCAATTAGGTAAATGGAAATTTGCTTAGTCTGCAGGGTCGCTGGAATTCAATCCCCGGAAAAAGGGGATTGAGCAATCATACATGTTGATTATTTTATTATATATTTGGGGGGAATTTCCAGTCGCGGGATGTTTCTCGACCATGTATAACCTAAGATTTTTTATGGAGGTAGAATTCCGCTACCCCAGTCTGCAGGTTTGCTGCGGCGGGGGTATTGTTTTTTATAGAATTCATCTTGTGGAACAAACATTCTCAGAAACAATGTTTTTACATGTTGAAGCTGTAAATGCTTTTACGCCACACTACAATGTTTTAACATTTTCAGGACTAGTATCATATTATACTATAACTCATGGTTTAATATGGACTTCTTGTAAAACGTAATAGTAGAGCTATTTTTATATATACATATATTCAAGTTTAATAGTAAGTCCTTATGTTACATTTAGAAAAATTTCATAATAGTAAAGTAATATAATAGTTCATATAATAGTAAAGTAGATCAATAGAAGAAAAAATAAAAATATCTATCAATAAACTGAATACTAGGTACTTATCGTAGACTACTATAAAAACAGAACTAAGAAAATTCATAGAATAAATGCATAGCAAATGTTTTCTAATTTGTTGACTGAACAAACCAGTTATTATTCTTAACTCAGATAAATACCCAACACTTTATTGTTCCTTTAGGAATTGACTTAATTTCAAAAGAATATTAGTTCTTGAGTTTTGTTAATCAGTTTGTCTATGATTTAAGTTAAGAGAGAAACTTTGACCCAATATTAATTCCTGTGCCATTCCTTAATTTTTCTTCATTCTATATATTTCTCAAGTAATAATGTATTATGAGCCCACTCCAGTTAGTAAATTCATCATATTGAATCCAACTCTGTGTCATAGCGACAAAAACATTGACGTGTACGTGTAAAGCTTAATATGAATAAAGGGTCAGTGTAGAATCAAAGATTACACATACTACGTAATGAGTGAGAAAGTTAGAAAGTTTTAGTAGTTTTGTTAGTAATTAATAAAAAAATTTAAAAAAAACAGCTATTTCTTAAACATTTATCATAAGCCCAATGATTAAAGGGCAGCTGGGTCCATTTTCAAACTGACTTAGAGCTGTACCAACATTTCCCAGGACTGACCTTTTCATTACTATACGAGCACTCAACTATCCAGCTACTCTTTTAGCAAAGTCAGTCAGCCATGATGAATGCAATAAAACCCCTTGAAGGAGAAGGTCTGCTACTATAATTGACTGGTCACACTTGGACCAAGTCTTAAATTCTTCTAGTAGCCACCAACAACACTCACTTGAAACTCTATTAGTTTCAAGAAAAAAATTAGTAATATTTTCATTTTTCTCAGTCCTTGAAAGAGAACATTTCAATTTTGACTGTGGTTCCCGTAATAATTCAGTACCGGTATTTTGCTAAATATATAAAGCTTGAATAGCCTATTAGGATTTTGATTTACAAATCTTTAAACAGTATTACTTAAATTATTAAGCCTAAACATTGAATGTGATTTTTACAGGTGACAAGAGTTGCAAGAGTCCTTAAGAAACGTATAAAATGGGATGACAATATGAACAAGTTTGTAATGCACTCCTACTATTATGTGACCAAATTGGAAACAGATAAAGAACAATGGAGACCAAAACTCAGGCAGAAGTTTGTGGAGGTTTATCCAGGTTTTGACTCTGTAACAGAGCAACGATTGGCAGATCAAAAGAGAGTAATCATACAAAACCTGTTGCTGGATAGAAAGGTGTTGGTGGAGATAAAACGAGCAGTTAGAAAGCAGCTAGAGATGGAGGGAGTTACTGTGACCCCTGTGGCAGAGTTCAGGGACAAGAGTTTCTACAACTAACTCAAATCTACACATCACAAACCTGCCATATCACGACGTTATGTTCAAAGTATGAAACTCTAAAATATGTTGTGCATTGATATCAATAATGAAATCCATCCTGGATCTCAGGATTTGTATCCTTAAGATATATCCCCAATTACTTTCCCTCTCACTGAACTGTTTACATGTATCAGATATTTACATTCTACCTAGATAATTACCAATATAGTATTGTGTTGTGGTATTTTCAAGAGTTAGTTGGATTACAATATATTTTTTATTAATCGCCTTAGTATTTTAATTAACACCATGTAAGGCAAAAGAGCAAGGCCATGGACCCTGGAAAAGAGAAACAATCTTCAAATAACATTTCAAAGGGCAACATTAATAACAGATGATTAAATTTGCAAGAAATTGTGGGATACAACTCCAAAGTGGTTACAGAAATCCATACCAGTATCGAAGTCAATAAATGTTCAGTAAATTTGTAATAAATATTTTCTTTTGTTCCGTTGAATGGAAAGGGGTTCAAGCTTACCCGATCCTGCTCTATTGTAATGCTTATCCCCAAACACTTTTTCTGACAGCATTGCTCACCATCAATTATTTGATAAAAAAAAAATTATAAGTCATTATAGCCAGACTCTAGTTTAGGAGGGGCTAATAGAGTGAGAGCACTAATGAAAGACCATTTTGTATATAAAAAAATCATATTAAGCTTTTTGTTTTGCCTAGTCTAAAAAAACTGATGTAAAAGTAACTTTGAAGCTTTATTCTAATCTGACTCAATCAAAAATGAAGGATTGAGTGTCTAGTGTCAATCATAAACAACCAGACCATCTTACAACTTTTCAATATACTGTAGTCTCGTGCACACAAGATTAGTTATATGATTTTTTATGGGAACTGCAATATACTGTATATTATGCAATTCACAGTATAATAGTAATAATAATTTTCAGTTATAATTTTCGGTTATATAATTTTCAGTTATAATTTTCAGTTAAGGTAAATCTGAACTAATTCTAAGGTCAAAATCCAAATCAACAATTATTTAAACAGTTGGCCATTTTTACTGGATCACAACTTTAGGTATAACAATAACCAGTGAATGGTTGTTTATGTCATTAACTAAATTTGGATGAAATTTTTTCAAAGTTTTGGAACCGATGTTTCCTGATGGTTTAAGTGCATGCTAGGAGACACAAAACCTGATTGAAATCATGTGGATACACTATAACCAGAAATTAGCGAAGGGATGAAAAATGGTCATCCACCAGAATTTACATTTTTAACGTTTTCAAAATGGTTTTTTTTATCATATATAGAGGGTGTCCAGCGTGAGAATCTTGAATGGATTTTAGCGAATTTCCCTATAGGGAAGTAGCTATTACCGTAGGTGGCATGGTAAGACCTAGGCCCGGGACCGATTTACTTTTTCATTTTGATGTCCCCAGAGGCCAAAAAGACCATTCGTTCAAATGTTTATACACATATATATATATATATATAAATATATATACATCTATCTATATATAGATATATATATATATATATGTGTGTGTGTGTGTGTCCATCCGCACGATAACTTGAGTAATTATTGTCCGATTTTGATAAAATTTGGTGGTCGAAAATATAATTTTCAGGGTACTCAGTTGTACTTATTTACTACAATAAATTAATAGATTTAATAATAGATTAATAGATTTAAATGAATAGATGTGTGTGTGTGTGTGTGTGTCCGTGAACGCAATAACTTGTGTAATTTTTGTCCGATTTTGATGACATTTGGTTTGAAGGTGTAAGGCGGGATAAAATTGAAAGAGTTTGCAAACCAGCATGATCGGACCATGGGAACGGGGTTTTACGGGGGGTTTTATGGGTTTTTCTAATTTTTGAGACTCTAAACACAAAATTTCCCAATTTCTCTCCAGACCTTTTTAAAGAGCTTAAAAAAACAAATAATTTAGTATATCAAAGTGAAGTGTTATTAGCAAATTTTCCTATAGGGATGTAGCCATTACCGTAGTCTCATGGTAAGACCTAGGCTTGGGACCGATTTACTTTTTCATTTTGATGTTCCCAGAGGCCAAAAACACAATTCGTTCAAATTTTTATATATGTATATACTGTACATCTATCTATCTATCTATATATATATGTGTGTGTGTGTGTGTGTGTGTGTGCCCATCCGCACGATAACCTGAGTAATTTTTGTCCGATTTTGATAAAATTTGGTTTGAAGGTGTAAAGCAGGATAAACTTGAATGAGTTCGCGAACCAGCATGATCAGACAATGGGAACGGGGGTTTATGGGGGTTTTATGGGGTAAAAATAGGTTTTTCCCATTTTTGACCCTAATAACACAAAATTTCACAATCTCTTTCCAAACCATTTTGTAGAGCTTAAAAAAAACAAATAATTTAGTATATTGAAGCGTTATTATGCACCTAATTGCTACGGAGAAAATTCAAAAAAATTGTAATTTTAAAATCCCCATGTAATTCTTATGGAGAATATAGTAAAAGGATGTAGTTAGCTTGTTTATGGATATATTTTGATCAAACATGGTAAATTTATTTATTTTGTACTAAGTTAATAACATTTTACTAAAAAAAACACATTTTTTACCCTCCCTGTAGCAGCTAGCCTATGTACTCGTAAAACCTTATCCTATACAGGGTGTCCCGGAACTCTCTACCAATATTTTAGGGCATTGCTCCTGGGTAAGAAACATAACTAAATATCATATTTAACTGTCCGGATGTCCTTAGTTACTCGCACAGCCGCCATTTTGTTTTTTTCAGTTATTATTTTTTTTTCTAAAGAATGGTTAAACATACGAAATGGAGACAAAGCTGCAAAAAAATTATGAAGATTTTTCAAATTCATAAAACAAAATGGCGGCCATTTAAAATTTTTGTAAAATCAATGGTTTTTGAGTTATTTGAGAAAGAAAAGTTTAAATGGCCGCCATTTTGTTTTATGAATTTGAAAAATCTTCATAATTCTTTTGCAGCTTTGTCTAGTTGTCATAAATGTTTGTGCGAAGTTTCCATTTCGTATGTTTAACCATTCTTTAGAAAAAATTAATAACTGAAAAAAACAAAATGGCGGCTGTGTGAGTAACTAAGGACTTCCGGACAATTTAAATATGAGATTTAGGTACGTTTCTTACCCAGGATCAATGCCCTAAAATATTGGTAGAGAGTTCCGGGACACCCTGTATATTAAAACGAAACAGGGTTTTTTTTATTTCACGATTCTGAACCAACCACTTGACGGATTTTTATGATTTTTGTGTTGAAAGAAAGATAATTTTGAGAACTAGGGAATGTCGAAGCCACAATTTTAGTTTCGGGTTTCAGTTTTTTAGAAATTAAGTTTTAATTTTCAAAAAGTCTAGCAGCCGACGGACGAGTTAAAGTCGTTTTAGTGGTAGTTTAACTAACAGCTGGTTTCTAACTGTCATTGAAATGTTTATGTTACAAGTTATATTGATCGTCAGAGTTTGCCTACACACTATTTTACTTTAAAATGCAGTTTATATTCTACCGTTGTTATCAGGAGATTGTGTAATTTTGAACTAAACTTTTTAAACGTATAATCAAGTTTTGTCATAAATGCAATCCGTCTAAGTATAAGTGGTTAATCCTTTAAGATATAAGTGGTTTGCGTGTTGATACATCTTTTTCTAGATGTTTAAATATAAGTATGACTGCATACAGTACACATTTTATTCGTAATGAAAATGTCAACCGGTGTAGTAGGTCTCCAGAAAACTGGCCAGTAAGCTGCAGGGTGTCAGTAGAAACCAAAATCGATTCATACCATATCATAACTATCCCAGTAGTACTGTATGATTCAGAAACTTGATAAAGGGGTACATTCCAAAAGTAGACCAAAAGGCTCGGATCTCGGATGGGCTGGGCACGCTTTGCATGGCGGAGAGAAGATACTTCAACTTTTAAAAGTGTATTCCAAGGAGTACTACAAGGTAGACGACCACTTGGAAGACCAAGTAATGAAAGACATCTTCAGACTGGTATCTTCCTGTCTTCCAGAAATGGCAGGGGATAGAGGAGAACGGGAGGCCAGGATCATTTTAGAGGTTTCAGTGGCCAAGGTGGTAAAATAAGGTACGGTAAGTGATAGTAGGCCTATGCAGTGGAGGGTGGTGTGTAGCTACTGTACTCAAAGCCAGTGTGTGTGAATCGGCCACCAAGTTGTAAACTAGCTGTTCTGAATCATATTCAGTTTTAATTGAATACTCGATTCCCGTACGTAGGACGGACCAACAGCTCGTCTATCTATAATATTAAAACGAAACAGTGTTTTTTACTTTCTCCCCCTATACCATAGTATATGGAGAAAGTATTGTTTTCGTCAAAATTTTCGAGTTTGAGTTTTGAGTGGATATATTCGTTTTGAGTCCCCCTGGACCCAAAAAAGTGGTTTTCGAAGTGATGTCTGTGTGTGTGTGTGTGTGTGTGTGTGTGTGTGTGTCTGTGTGTCTGGATGTGTACAGAGCTAGAGACTACACCTGTGGTCCGATTTCGATGAAATTTGGTATGTAGGTTCTAATCCATGGTATCTCCAGGCGTTTTTTTCATTTTTTTGAAATTTTTATTTTTAATGGGGATTTTCCCATAAAAACCCATAAAAAACCGGAAAAATTGGATTTTCTCAAAAATGGCCCGAACGATTTTGATTAAAATTTAGTATGTTGTAGCCCTTTAAATCCCGAACAAAATGGTACAAATCCCATTTCTGTAAAAATTACGGTTCAAAAGTTATGGTAAATTATGTTATTTTCACATAAAAACCCCATAAAATAACAAAAAATAGGATTTTAGACAAAAATCCAGTTTTGATTTAACATAGTAGGTTATGGTCCTTACAATTTTGATAGTTGTTTTTCATTTTTTAGAAATTTTGATTTTAGATGGGGATTTTCCCATAAAACCCCATAAAATAACGGAAAAATATGATTTTCCCAAAAATGGCCCGAACGATTTTGATAAAAATTTAGTATGTTGTAGCCCTTTAAATCCCGAACAAAATGGTACAAATCCCATTTCTGTAAAAATTACGGTTCAAAAGTTATGGTAAATTATGTTATTTTCACATAAAAACCCCATAAAATAACAAAAAATAGGATTTTAGACAAAAATCCAGTTTTGATTTAACATAGTAGGTTATGGTCCTTACAATTTTGATAGTTGTTTTTCATTTTTTAGAAATTTTGATTTTAGATGGGGATTTTCCCATAAAACCCCATAAAATAACGGAAAAATATGATTTTCCCAAAAATGGCCCGAACGATTTTGATAAAAATTTAGTATGTTATAGTCCTTTATATTCTAAACAAAATGGTACAAATCCCTTTTCTGTAAAAATTACGGTTCAAAAGCT